TTCCTCTTCTATTATGCCTTTGGTCATCTACCCAGCCCCCCTCCATCCCACTTGATTCCAACCCCCACCTCAGGTGTAAACCCTTCACTGTCCAGCGCCTTGGGTTTTGGTTTGGGAGAGGTGCTTGTAACACCTTGTGCTGTTGTCCTGTCAAAATTCAGCACATTTACACTGTGGAATGTTTAAGGCAGTAAGATGTAAACAATGTTTTGAATTTGTGAATTATTTTCTGTTTGTTGAGCCTTCTTCCTATATGTGATCGGTCAAACGTTCAGCAACAAAATCAGCTAGTGCCAAATGAGGTCAACAGGGGGCGCTCTATGGCAGGCTAATATTGCACCATTGCTGCCAATTATATTTCTACATTTGGTAACAACACTGCTGTATTTTAACAATAACAAGATTACATTTGTATAGCGTTTTTCACGTCGGGAGGACGTCCCAAGGCGCTGATTTAATGTGCTGCTTGTGCAGAGAGACACAATAACTAACACAAAAACAAACTTTCTTTGTTGACCTTGAATGGTTTTGCTTTGAGCTTTGAGTTTTGCATCCACTACTGATTCCAGACCCACTGAGGTTCTGTCTGTTTGACCCAGACATGAAGGCCTGGATGAGCTGAAATTTCCAGCACCTAAACATTTCCAAGACAGAAACCATCCTCCTCGGCTCCTGCCAACATCTCCTCACGTTTAGCTCCAACCTTCTCAATCTCCTGGCCTCTCTCGCAATCTCTCCAAACCAGTGTGTAACCTTAGTCTCTGTTTCGATCCTCAGCTCTGCTTTCTCACTCACATCTGGTCTCTGAGCAAGACTGCTTTTCTTCACCTCTGCCATATCACCCACCTCGACCCCTATCTCACACCAAATGTCATCTTTATTACCTGGACTTCTCGAACCATTCTTCATTGCTCTCTCGAGCCGCACCATCACATGCTCCAATGTACTGAAGCCTCTGCTGCTCGCATTCTCACTTGCACCCAACTTGGCACACCTACTCCCTTCCTCTCAGTGGATCAACCTCTACTCGGTTAGCTCGATGACCAAGCTTTCAGGTCTATAACCCGTAACCTCTGGAACTTCTTCTACCCTTGCATCTCGTCCCTTTCTGTCTTCAAGTCCTGCCTCAAAATCTATCTCTTTGACCTCACTTACAATCCCTTCCTTCTCCTCCTCCCCTCACTTAGCCTGGGCATAACTGCATGTCTAAGCATTGACTTAGGATACACTACACCCAAATTAATAACAATTCTTGTCTTCCACCTGCATCAATATACAGGACAAAAATAAGGAAAGCTAATAAGCTCCTTGGAAAACCATGCTGGCAAAACTCACATGAGCAAAGCTGAAAGGGTTTGTTCGAGTCATCGGAACCCAGAGAGCAAATTACAGCTGTGAACACTGTAGCTACTGTTTCCTTTATAGAAAATATACAATTTCTTTTGCATGCAGGTTTTCAATTAATTTACCCCAGTCACTCCATATAACTAACAGCTTGTGACATTATTACTGCAGGCTGAGAGGCAAATCATTTCGAGATAATTGCATAAAAATATAAAGTTCAGGATGTATCATAATAAAAGTTCTTGCAATTGATACAGCGCCTTATCACATCTTCGAGACGTCTCAAAGCGCTTCACAGAATGTACTGTAAAGTGAATTGACTGTATATTTTGTGGGCCAAATGCGGCAGCCAATTGCGCACAGCAGTGTCCAATAAACAGTCGTGGATTGAGTGACCAAATTATTCATATTTATTTATTTTTCTTTTTGAAGTGATTATTACCCCAGAAAAGCAATCACCCAATCGACTAACAACCGGGTTCCTACTTTACTGCGAGGTAAACAGAGGTGTGTGAAGTAAGGAAACTTGCCCAATGTTTCGTGCTGCCGGGAATCAAACTCAGGTCCTCACTTGCAAGCCGAGTGCTCTATCCACTAAGCTACAGGACTCTATCATGGGATATTTGTGTGCTCAGCATAAAAAAAACACCGAAGGGCCTATTCCTAAATCCACAGCTTGATCTGAAAGTTTGAATCGCAATCATCTGAGCCCATCATATTCCACATGACAAAGTGTAAACGAAATACGTCCTTTCTGTAAGCTGTCTGCTTTCAGGTGTTATTGGTCTCTCAAGTCAAGTAATCCAACTAACTCAGAACTCGCTACCCATATACTTACCCGCTCTAAACTCTGTATCCTCATCATCCCAGTCCTTGCCAAGCTCCATTGGCTCCCTATCACAGAATGGATCAATATCAAGATCCTCACACTTGTCTACAAATGCCTTCATGCCCTGGCACCTCCCTACCTCTCTGACCTTCTTATTCACCACTCCATCATCTGCCATCTGCGTGCGGATGGCTCCTGCCTGCTCCTTGTCCTTAGTCTCCTCCGCTCCACCATCAGCGGCCATGTTTTCAGCCACTATGACCTGAAACTTAGGAACTCTCTCTTTCAATCCCTCTGTCTTGTCCCCTCCTTCCCCTTTTTCAGATCACGATTGAAGACCTTCCTCTTCGACCGTGCCTATGGTTACCCCCGGATTCGGTGTCCGCCACTGCTAAGTGCTGTGAGACGCTATCCTACATGAAGGGTGCTGTATAAATGCAAGCTGTTGTTGTTATCAAACTCAATTGACAATCATAGCAGGTAATTAGGAACCCATTCTCATTTGTGAGATCAAAGAGGCATAATTACAGAGCATTCCATTCACAGTATCAATTAGAGACACTTACACTGTTCCAGTAGAATTACGTTATTTTACGAATAATAATAATAATTAGAAGCTTTATCGATATATTGTTAAAGGAATTTGATACAAACACAGATAGTGCCAATTGTGTTATTAATCATGCTAACAATCCTGACATTTTATATGGTGCCTTTCATGTCAGGAAAATATCTCAAAGCACCTCGATGGATTTACTGTAAAACATACTGTGTATTTGTAAACAAATGGGCCAGCTTTTTGCACCCAGTAATGTCCCACAAACAACCATAAAGTGAATGATCAATTTTATCTGGGGGATTGTTGGCCAGGATACTCGATGCCTTACGTTTCGAAATAGCACTATGGGATCTTTAATGTCCTGGACGGGCAGAAGGGTCCTCAGTTTAATGCCTCATCTGAAGGATGGAACCTCTGACAATGCAATGCAACCTCAGCGCTGCACTGGAGTGTCAGACTGCTCTGTGTGAGTTCAAGTCACAATGTGGGGCATGAACCCACAAGCTTTTGACTCATATGAGAGTGATATAATAAAATAATAATCCTTGCATTTGATATAGTGCTTTTCATGTCTTCTAGACTTCTCAAAGTGCTCACAGAATATACTGTAAAGTGAACTGTATATTTGTAAGTGAATATACTCAGTGCCACTGACTGAGTCAACTTGACACCGAATATTGCTTCAATATAGTACTGAAGCAAGTCATTCTCATCAACATGAATTATTGTAACAGAAAGGTGGTTACCACTCAAAACATGCTAGTCTTCCATACATTTACTTAGCATGTTCCCCTCAATGCCATGCACAATTCCTTGCCCAAAGGACTAGTGCAAAGCAAGTTAAATATTTTTTGTTAGGACACTAAATGGGACTGGGGTGCATGTTCGACTTAGGCGATTATACGATTTATAAAGAGACGACTTATGCGAGTTTTACACGCTGGGACAGTTCATGTTGCAGGACTCACCAGTGGTTTGTTATTTTATTAGGTTTGTGCTATCTGGTGCTGAGTTTATTCCGTGAATCAGCCTAATTTCTGCCAGTATAGTGATGTGCATTGAGAAGTGAGATTTCCACTGCACGCTCCATGTGGCTTGTAATGAGCTGGGAAAACCACAGGATTTTGGCAGATCAGGGCTTTTTTTCTTAATGTTACTAAGCAAAACCTGGTGTGTGATTGAAGCAACAGAGACTCAGCTCCAACATGGATCGAGATGTCTGACACCTCATTTATGCTACACATTTGGTGACATGACTGCCTCTTAGGTGGAACTTCATTAAACTTCCACTGAAATTCCACATGAAAGAAATTCCAATGTATATTTATTCCCTATAGGAATGATTAGTACTATATTGTTCCCACTACTGTCCCTGTGGAGAACTAACAAAGGCAGGTCCACTCTCTTTAAACCAAGCTTCGACTGACACTGAGTTCAAACCGCTGGAATTGCTGCCTTCATGTTCAGCACAGGAGGGAGGTGGATTCACAGAGTCTATTTGCCAAGGCCCCTCACATGAGGACCTGGATTAAGCAGCTAGTACACAGTATTGGACTTGGACCTTAAGAATATCAAAGTGGATGGCACATCACAAGCTGTCCTGTAAAAGTCCTCCCACCATGCTGAAGGCAGATACCCGCCAGATAGTTGATGAGGAAACTCTGAGGTTTGTGGCTACAGCTGCTGGAAAGTGTTACCTGGAGCCCAAGTTCGTGAACACACCTTCGTACATCCAGAGCCTGGAATCCACCTTGATCGGCGTGTGGAGAGGCAAGAAGCTGCTGCTTAAGCTCCGCACTTCCAATTGATGGAACCATGGCTCAATGGGAAGGGATGTGGGCCTGAGCTGCGGACAGGAATATGGTGGCAATTCTCAGGTATTTCATGCTGAGCTGTGTTGCCCAGTGAAAGCTCACAGGGAGTTCCTGGTACCTGCCAGCCACCTAGTGAGGGCTCAAACCTGTGCTTGTCAGATGCCAAACGACCAACTAGTGACTATCTTCCTTGACGGTGCAACAAAGATCATGCTATAAAGGGTCTCACTGCAGTTTACAGTCACAGACACATTTAGCTGGCCTGAATAAACAGTTTCTCATTACACAGAGCCTGATCCCACAATCATCCTGCTCACTCTTCATAACCATGAATTTAGCAATATCCATTAACAAGTGCACTGCCCAAAATTGCACAAAATATTTCAAGTAGAACGGAGTGAAATGAAGGGTTCAGTCATGCTGTCACCAGCTTGGTGCCAGTTTACAGACTTACCTCTTGGTTGGTAACAGACAGCTGATCTTCCAGTGTTGACACCCGCTCTAGTGCCACACGGAGACGTTCTCGAACCTTCAGAAATTCAAAGAGGAATTTCAATCAATCATTCACATCATGCTTACATTATCTTACATTAAACAAGCAGCAGAGCTAGTCATTATGAAAGAAGCAGAGCCTGGCTAACATGCTGGAGCCACGGAGGTAAATGGGATCTGTTTAGATCTGATGTACGCTTGGCAACAGAACAGCGGAATTGAGTCAATCCTCTGTGGAGATCTTGATAGTCAGTTCCTGAGTCAGGCAGGTCCACAGGTCTCTGATGACAGCACAGCCACCCTGGCTCATTGGTGACACTTGGAATGGTAGCACAATCACTGGGGGCAGGATTCATCCCACCCATCTCTTGTTAACCTTAATAATAATAATAATCCTTGCATTTGATATAGCGCTTTTCACGTCGGGAGGACGTCCCAAAGCGCTTCACAGAATATACTGTAAAGTGAATTGACTGTAAATAATAGTGTGGTCCTAGCTGGACAAGCAGTAGGGAAGCTTACCAGATGGTTCTCTCAATGGCAAGAAATGCATTTTTAACTCCTGCAGTTACCCCAACACACACTCTGGGGTTGCCCATAAGCCTTGGCTCTTTCCAGCCTGTGCCTAATACTCTCTGGAATTAGGGAAGCAGTGGTCATCCCTCCAGGGAGAGAGTGCATATTCCATTCTACACGCAGGGAAATTTCTATGTGCAGGTGGCGGACACCTATGGAACTCTCAATCTGGTTTGGATAGTCTTAAGAATAGTGATGGGTTTCTGCTTGTGTCAGACACCCAGCTGACCAAAAAAACTAATTATGCCTTCAGAGGTACATTCAATCATTTTGTATTAAGCCAAATCTCAGTGCAGACTTATAAACTTAAGTTATACATAGTCCATTTATATATTAGAGAGTCAGTAAATTTAGTAAAGCTCAACCTCAATCCTTTGAAAGCCATAAGTATTTGCTTCCTGCCCAGACAATGACCTTTCTCACCTTTTCATCTAAAGCTTTATGATGTTCAAACAGTGATTTTAGGGCTTTCAAGACTTCCACTTCACTGGAAACGCCTGATGGAGATTGTGCTTGTCGCTTCACCACTGTCATCCGCAGGGATCGCTCATGTCTCGACACAAGGCATTCCAGATGTTCCAGTAATAACTGTGGGAATAAAATCATCTCATGGGTCAGTCACAACTCCACTATGTGGCTGTTGGTGAATATTCATTGAGTACCAGTGCACACTGCTGTGTCCAACAAATTAAACTTAAATGTTGGTTTACAGATAATCTGAACGGAAGTTGTGCAAACATCATAGATCACCCAACACCTAAAAAATAACCCTGTGCTCAAGCAAACCTTACTGTTGTGTCGAATAAGTTTGTAAAGGTAGAAACGCAGACTTTTTTGTGCTGTGCCAGAGGGTATTTGAGCATACTGCACGAAATCTCACCACTCAACTTTCTGCACCAGACACCAGTCACCAGATACTCAGCTGGTGCTACACAGCCTCTAAGCTATTCCCACCAGCTGGTTTGAGAGCAGCACTGCCTGGTTTGGGGGAGAGATTCATCTGTCATGGTTGCTGATCACAAAAGAAGCAGAAAGATCCAAGGCCAGCAGAGGGAAGAAAACATTTACAGAAAACATTTCTCATCCTCAAAAGACACATTTCAAGGAACAAATGCAACGGAAGATGGTGAGAAGTCTTGTCATTCTGTACTTTACCATCCACAGAGCATTTAAATATTACAGCTGATACTGTCCTATCAGACAGGCAACCCTGTAAGAGCCAGGGCCTGATTGCTCACTCTGGTATTGTTCCTCTCTGCTTTCAGTTCGGAAATTTCCTCTTCTTTCTCCAAAAGCTGCTCCCTGCAGGCATTCAGCTCTTTTGTCAGGGCAGCAAACTCCTAAAAGGGAACAGGAGAGCAAACATTGAGTTACAGTTGGCACTTTAAACGCAATCTATTCACAAATCTTTCATATGAGACCTTTTCAGATCAGGATGCAGTATTTTTAACATTGGCTGTTAGCGTTAAAGAAATCTCTTGGTGACTAATAGGAATGCTAAAAAATGAAAAAGAAAGAATCTTCCATTGTAAAGATGGCCATTTAGTTTGCCATCGGTTGTGGTGTTGCTGAGATGGAGCTGACCACACTTGCAAGCACACATCCTGACTGCCCCAGAAATCCAAATACACTGCTACATAATGGGGACATGGACTGTTTTTAACAAGGCATCTTTTGTTTGTATTTATACATCTGAAGAATGTATTTTTTTTGCAATAAACGTGGGCACTGAAACTTATTATAAACCAATAATAAAATCACTTGTTTCCTGATCGGTGAGTGATTGACCCCCATCTGTTCAGTTATATTTTACTTTTCCATCTAGTCAAATCTTGGATCATATCACCAACAGTTCTAGATGTTAAGCGCTCCGAGATGCCACCCAACGTGAAGGGCACTATATAAATGCCAATTGTTGTTGTTGAAGGTACTATATAAGTGCAAACTGTATAGCATATTAAACAAAGAATCTGCCTGTAAGAACTATAAAAGAATAGCACACCTCCCTTGGTTATACTGTAAGCTGGAACGAGGCAGCTTTACCTCTAGCACCAGAGGAATGTGCAACAGGGAACTCCGTTACTATTTGTTCTTTGTTGCGTTGGTCAAAGATGGAAAGCTTAACTTTGGAGCTCTGAGTGAGCAGAGACTCTAAAATTGGGTCTCTGTTTTGAATGTTATTAAATAGCCAGATATGCAACCAGCTCCAATTGATTGCCCAAGATCTTGCCGGGGAATGCCGGGGTGCTGTTCATATAGAGAGAACCAGACTGGTGGCAACTTATGCCAACTGCACTCTAAAAATAGTTTGTGTCCCAGCTGAGTTCCCACAACTCAGTGTGCTGCTTACCAGAGGGAATTTCCATTTGTACAACCTGGTTTGCTAGTGGGGACCTGATACCCAATGCGATGGTCATTTTTCAGTGCGGGAAGCTGGCTAGCAAGTGGCTGCAGCCGGGGGGAGCTGGATACACATTGAACCAACACTATAATAATTCTTGCATTTGATATAGCGCCTTATCACTTCTTCAAAATGCCTCAAAGCGCTTCACAGAATATACTGTAAAGTGAATCGACTGTGTATTTTTTGGAAGCGAAACGTGGCAGCCAATTGCACACAGCAGTGTCCCACAGTCGCGGATTGATTTTTGTTTTTAAGGAATTATTATCCCTAGAAAAGCAATCCACCAATCGACTAACAATCAGGTTCCTACTTACTGCTGGGTAAACAGAGGCGCGTGGAGTAAGGAAACTTACCCAAAGTTTTGCCCTGTGGGAATCAAACCCAGGTCCTCTCGCTTGCAAGTCGAGTGCTCTAACCACTGAGCTACAGGACTCCACACTAAACTAGGGCACCTTATAACAGGGCATCATATAACTATTAGCAATCAAACCATTTCTAAAAAACATCAAATAAGCCGCAACCAATAATGACGAGCTATGAGCCAAGTGTCCCTGGTCCACCGGCTCCCTGGGCCACATTTGTTCCCGTTTCTAAATGGAAGCCATCTCCCCACAATCTGAAACAGTCAACAAAACAAAAGCTCTCACATACCTCAAGTGAATTAACTTTGCAATGAAATTGAATGGCAAACTGGTATATAATGTACACAGTAAGAGCTCCAATAAGAATGACAACGGACAGCAAAAACAAAGTGAATGTGTTAATCCAACGATCAAGAAATGTTCTTTGAAAAATGTGAGCAAATTCAGCAAAATCATTAACATTTTGCACAGAGGCAAACACACCGAGACCCACAAAAAACATATCTGCAAAAAGGTCTGCCTTTGAACAGAATATTTTTGTTATGAGCACTGTAGTCAACAATAGTAAACAGAATGTGAAGCGTAGCCTCGTCAACAGTCTCCAAGAGCATTGTTTTCATTCTGACAAGTTCCAGATCTAAAACCTGAACATTCCTGCCACACATGCTCCATCCCAACCTCAGAACACTTGCACTGAACCAACGTCGCTTTACACTTCCCAAAGCAACCAACTTGGCCTCTCTAAGAGCAGTGATAAAAGAGGATAGTGTTGTGCCATAAACACAAGGAACTGTCCACAGAGAACTGTCCCAGTGAACAAATGGAGAGGACCTTCATTTTATCAGTCAGGGCAGGAGTCAAACCCAGGTCTCAGAGATGAAAGGCCAGCATCGAATCCATCCTGGCATCGAGGCCAACATATCTGTTTGAGTATAATAATAATCCTTGCATTTGATATAGCACCTTACCATGTCTTTGAGACATCTCAAAGCGCTTCACAGAATATGCTGTAAAGTGTAGTGACTGTGTGTTTTGTGGGCAAAACTCAGCAGCCAATTGCACACAGCAATTTTTTTGATAGAAAGCAGTAAGTGAAGAAGAAATATTTATCAGTATCAAAAGGTTTATAGTGTTAAATTATCAAGAACTGTCAAATGCTCCAGCAAAAAAAGTATGGTATCAATTAATGGTCTTAGCCCAGTATCTGAATTATAATTGAAATAACTGTATTCCTGTAAAATTTCACATAACCTAATAATGCTGAGTATAAGAAAAATGATTAATTAAAACTATCATTCCCCAGGATGAGAATTAGATATCCAGATGATTGGAAAAGACTCCAGAAAGCTTTCAACACAAGCCCAGGAGGTGTCACATTATCTATATCCCCAACTGGCCAAACTGGCAAAATGCTTTCTCAGCTCATTCATCAAACTATAAAAATGACCAGAGGCGTCAGTAGAAACCAAGAATAAAGCTGTAAAATTTGCTTGTATGGTTCCTGAGATACCTTCACCCAAAGGATATCATTAATTAAGAACTAAAACCTCATAAAGTACCATCTGCAAAGTACTGATATCTGCTACACATGTAAAAAAAAACATGAGACACATCAGCTGAGTCTAACTGGTCAGCACACATCAATACATGAGGCATATTACAGGAGACCCAGGGTTACATTCCTAATGTTTAAAGGTAAAAAAAAAAAATAGAAATCGCTGGAAATGGGCAAGTCAATTGGGATCTGAAGGAGAAAAAACATTTATTTCTTTGGATACAGTCTTTCGGCAGAAAATTGATGGCGTATCAAACCCCATCTTTCTCATTCCTTGCTAAGCAACTAACTGTACACTCGCATCATTGTGGTTCACTTTTAACTGAGGGGTACAATTCCAAGTGGAGTCCTGTAGCTTACTCGTTAAGAGCACTTGCCTCATAAGCGAGAGGATCTGGGTTCAATACCCGGCCGGGCGAAACCTTGGGCATATTTCCTTACTCCACACGCCTCTGTTTACCTAGCAATTGATAGGAACCCAGTTGTTAGTCGATTGGCAGATCACTTTTCCGGGGGTAATAATCCCACCAAAAAATAATACAAAATAAAAATAATGATAATTATTTGGTCACTCAATCCATGACTGTTTGTGGCACACTGCTGTGCGCAATTGGCTGTTGTGGTTCGCCCACAAAACATACACTTAATTCACTTTACAGTATATTCTGTGAAGCACTTTGAGACGTCTCAACGATCTGATTAGGTGCTATAATCAAATGCAAGGATTATAATTATTATAAACTCATCGAGCTCGAATTAGGTTCTTCAAACGCCACCACCAACCCCAACCACAAATCTCGAGGAGCTGTGGCCTGATCTGTTAGCCATTGCAGGACTTGTGGCCAATGACAAATTCCAGACAACAGTTGTCACCATTGATTATTGGAGATCTGGGCCAATAGAAAAGTGCAGAAATATTTGTAAAAAAAATTGCCGAGCATTTTGCAAGGAAATTTGCTAAGTTTTGCAGGAAATTCCGGAGGGTTAATGGTACTATTGAGAGACGCATTTTGCTGTTAACCTACACTTTTTCTCTTTTCTCATTATTAAAACTAAACATGAAGAACTAACACATGATAGATTATTGGGGAGAAAAAACAATTTATTAATGTTTTCTTTAACCACAACAGAACAGAACACCTTTCAAAAGATGCAAAAGTGCAGTTTCCACACAGTTTGCAGAGAAATTAAAATTTTCGAAATAAAAATTTTCACAGAAACGACACAAAATTCTCAGCGAAAAGTTTAGTGTTTATGTTTTAACAGGAGAAGAATCTTCATATTTTCTTCTGTTAAGCTTCGCCTATTATCTTTGAGGAGGTCTGAATAAACAGAAAATGACATTTCAACGTCACCTGTGCTCAGTGAGAGCCAAATGTACCTTTTTGTAATTTTAGCGAGTTTCACAAGTGGCTCAGGCTGAGCTCCCTACCATGCTGCTATTTTGTGGTTAGCTGGGATACTTTCTCTCGCTGCTTTAGAAGCACGCCATTCGAAGTTTCAAATAGTTGAAAGGGCAGGAATCACATTACTATATAAGTCTTTTTCTACATCCGCTGTTGCTAGCTGGCGAGGATCAAAAACAATTGACGGATGCCTTTTCAAAATCAGTCCCAACTTTTCACTGCCGTCTTGAATGATTCTCTGGAAAAGGTTGACACATGCCTCTCTCCCACAACAGGCTGCCAACTTTTCCACTGTCTTTGGTCCTGCGCTCCAGCAGTGGCACAGAAATCAATAAACAAATGTAAATTTTGCGCCCTCAGGTACAGACTGTGGCCCTGAGGCACAGCTGTTGACTGACATTATTCAATGAGTTTTATGAGCTCGGATGTGTGCTCTGTGACAAAGGTTGCTTGGGCTTGCAACTCTGCAGCATTATTTGTGGAGTCCTGTAGCTCAGTGGTTAGAGCACTCGTTTTGCAAGTGAGAGACCTGAGTTCAATTCAGGCAGAGTGCGAAACCTTGGGCAAGTTTCCTTACTCTCCACACACCTAATAATAATCCCTCCAA